GATCTTAGCCAACATAATGTTTTCCCATGCTAGTGCGCATGGCGGTAAAACATTGTGCTGTATCAACCATATGGTGTCTGTGAGACCATCTTATTGAAATAGCAGAGTTTCTGTCAGCTATTTGAGTGGAGGCATTTTAATCCTGCAATGTAACATTGACATTCTACTGAAAACAAAATATTTACATTGCAGGGTTTAAACTTGAGACATAGAACACAGACCATGTCATTGAGATGAAGTGGTCTGGTTGCCTATAATGTCCCTTTAAATCACGGTTTATCCTGCCACATCTCCTATACCTGTGACGTACACAGTTTCCTTACACACGTCGTGTAAAGAGAAAGCTAATGTTTAAACTTCCTTTATTGCACATTCTGTTTATTGTTGAAGTTCTTAATTCCTGCTCTGTTAATATCTTTCTAGAGTCTGCAGGAACCTCAGATTTGAGATTTGACATTTGATTGAAAATAAAACCATGCAGCTGTGTCACAGCCAGGGAAGTTGTGAATAGGGTACATAAACTAAAACTATTTACTTCCTAAATCTATACACCAAAACTGCTTTATTAAGCTAAACTTGTTTTGGTGACTGTAGTGTCCCTTTAACTGCTTAATAGAGTCCTCATGTCGGCATAAAATGTGCTTACAGTGCAGTGAGCATGGCATCTCCTTTTGTGGCCAATTATGAAATATTACAAAGCCGTAATCTTATTGTTTATAAAAGACTGTGTATTTCACAAGAGCTAGGATTTAATGACTGGACCGCAGCCTGTGTTAAGGGAAGAATTTGAACAATCAAACGTCATGCCGAATATTCCTTAAATCTTGTTTCTCTGTGTTGCGTGTAAATTGCTCCCTTGCTCCAGAACAGAAGAGTTGTTATCAGCAGAACGGCTGATCCCTAGAACCAGAGGTTTTTAGTAACTGAACGTGAAACCCCATTTTATGCTGTTGTACTGCTGACAGTGGGTTATTTACATGTGTATTTTGGACCTGACACAGACCAGCTAATACAGAATGAGAGTGCCCTCTGGTGTATGTGGACTATACTGCAGAACTGCCCATCACTATTCTATGTGCTTTCATCTTTTAACACCGAATATTATCAGTTTTATATCTTTCATTGCAATGGTCTTTCTCTACACTAGCCCTCTTTACAATATCCACAGAGTGGAAAATAGATTAATACCGAGTGGGGGGCTATTTCTAATGCCTTTACCAATAGGGATGAATGTACCTACACCCCTACTTTTTAATTATTTAATGTTTTGGATAGAATGGCGTTGGGCGAAAGGATGCTCAACGTGCCCATTAAAGGGAGGTTTGCTTGGATTCATTAACCCCTTAAGGACCAAGCTTCTGGAATAAAAGGGAATCATGACATGTCACACATCATGTGTCCTTAAGGGGTTAAAGGAACACTATAGTCACCTAAATTACTTTAGCTAAATAAAGCAGTTTTAGTGTATAGATCATTCCCCTGCAATTTCACTGCTCAATTCAATGTCATTTAGGAGTTAAATCACTTTGTTTCTGTTTATGCAGCCCTAGCCACACCTCCCCTGGCTATGATTGACAGAGCCTGCATGAAAAAAAAACTGGTTTCACTTTCAAACAGATGTAATTTACCTTAAATAATTGTATCTCAATCTCTAAATTGAACTTTAATCACATACAGGAGGCTCTTGCAGGGTCTAGCAAGCTATTAACATAGCAGGGGATAAGAAAATCTTAATTAAACAGAACTTGCCATAAAGAAAGCCTAAATAGGGCTCTCTTTACAGGAAGTGTTTATGGAAGGCTGTGCAAGTCACATGCAGGGAGGTGTGACTAGGATTCATAAACAAAGGGATTTAACTCCTAAATGGCAGAGGATTGAGCAGTGAGGCTGCAGGGGCATGTTCTATACACCAAAACTGCTTCATTAAGCTAAAGTTGTTCAGGTGACTATAGTGTCCCTTTAAAGACTAAATGCAGAGCTAGCGTCCATACAAGTCATTGCTGAAGATGGCCTTTCAATCTGCATTCATTACAATGTTGCACTAGATCCATATAACTATATTTACCGAATTGATCTGACTGTTCTGCGGCTTCCTCTCTAGGTGTATGTGTTAAAAAGGCCCCACGTGGACGAGTTCCTTCAGAAGATGGGCGACCTGTTTGAATGTGTCCTCTTTACAGCGAGCTTGGCCAAGGTGAGTGCGGAGCGTACTGATCATTCTTTTATTCAGTGAAACAGAGATTAGGTTGTTTTTTTTTGTTTGTTTTTGTTTTTTGGTGTATAAATTATTTAATTTTCGGTTCTCTCCTGAAACTCTTACTTTTCTCCCTTTTTCTTCCTTGCTTCTTTGTCTACCAGTGTGTCTTTGTGCTTTCTGCTAGTTTGTGGGTAAGTGTTCCCATGGTAACAAACTAACATACGGGCTTTGCTCATAATGTAGCCTCCATGCATTGCTCATGAAGCCGGTATGCAAATATTAAAAGTTACCATGGTTACTAGTGGGCATCACAATATTTAAATACACACTGAAGTCTGGCTCAGTCGCTGTGCCCTGGCAACAGACTTACAGATCACTGTATTGCAAATCTTCCAGCCAGGAATTGCTGCAGCGCTTCGCATTTGGAGAGGATGCTTTTTGTAGTTTTTGTAGTTTTTAGCGTTTACCAGTGCTATATAGCGCATGCCAAAGCAGTAGTGTTGTGAATAAAACCTGCACTAGAAAAAGACATTGAAATATAGCTAGTTTTGTTATTGTTTGCTTATGAATGTGCTTACAGAGATTTATCGCTGTATTATCGAGGTCAACACCCGTTCCTGCTATTTAAAGTGGTTTTGTCAGCTGAAAATGTTTGCGGTTTAGATTGATCAGTCTATTGCTTTAAGAAAAAAAAAACCAGTTTAGTTAGTTTGTAGCTGTTTTAGACCACAGTACCATGTCACACAGAGCAATATAAATGGCCAATCACAAACTGTTTTCCTGCTTATTGGCTCCCTGAATTCTACTTTCCTGAGATGGAGATTGTTAAAATTGTCTGATACGTCAGCAAATACAAATTCAAACACATTTGTGCTGGATTGCCCCAAGAAACCCTTTTTATCCCGAGTGTAGATGGTCTTTAATGCTCTGCGTGATGGTGTAAATGTATTTTCTGATGACACTGTAAACATGGTTTATGTTAAAAAAAAAAAAAAAAATGCCTCCTTCATGTGTTAAATGGAAGGATTATCAGTTACCCAATGTCTGATATAAAAAAAAAATTCTGTATTTTTTTTGTCTCATCCTTCGTTAGCTCAAGACAAAAATGTGTTTAAATTAGTTGCCAGTAGCTAAGGAAAACATTAAACTTCTTATTACAGTTTTAGTTATTTTGTTGCTAAATACAGGGTCTGTGAAAGGTACGGTGTTAAAGGACACTCCGAGCACCAGAACTGTTGGAACCTTTTTTTGTAATTTTATGTAGCTAGGAAACACATACAGTTTGAAATCCTGTTTAAATTTTTTTAAATAAATTATCACAAGTGACCATGTGTTAACCAACAGTAATGTCTACTAAGACGTGTGTGCTTCCTGCGATGTGTTGAATAAAATGCCACTTAACACATTTTGGAGATCGCTATACCATTCTTTTACAGGATAACATTACTGGTGTGGCAATACCGGAGGTCTTTGTAGCACTCCATTTTTAGTAAGTGTTCATCCACTTACGTTATTTTCAGACCCTGGCCGCCTTCACACCAGCGTCATGTTGGGAAGTATTGTTTCCCTAGTGCTACAGCAAAGTGCTTGCATGTCTGGGGGACACGCTGATCACTGTATGCAAGTCTTCATCCTTTCGTGTTGCATTTTTCCCATGCCTGGGTGAGTGCGGCATGGAGCAGTACTGTTTGGCGATCACGCATTTCCTCTAGATTAATCTACAGCGATACGAAGGAGCAGTATTTTATGGTATAAATTGGAATTGCCATTGTAACAGTACAGCCTGTTTTGTGTTTAACATTTTTAAAACTTACCACACAAAATCCATCTGTGAGTTTATGTAATGGTTAAAGGATGTTCTGCTACTGTGGCAATAAAATGGTATAACTCCACTTGAGTCTAGTATTAAACAAAATATGAAATAATGTGACACAATTGAAATAATTACTCTTGCAGCAGGTTGGTTCCGACAGCCTCCATTTAATGCAACCTGAATTGTGATTGGGAGGTCTGGTGCACGAGGCAAGATAGATTGGGGGGGGTGCGGGGGGTGGGGGTTGTAAATACAAAGGTTAGTGTGAACCTTATATAAAAGCCTTCCACCTGTAGCCAACTTTTTTTTTATATATTCCACGTGGATTGGATTCTTGAATATAGTTAATAAGCTACAAACCCTCAATTTTTAATATTTGTAAATCTTGATGAGCATCCTACACCTGTGTCGGTGTGTGCCTTTTTCTTCCCTGCTAACGGAGTGCCGGTCTGTCTTGTTATGCCTGCTCAAAGTGTGCTGGCACATTCTCCAACTATGTTTATAATTCAGCCTTTCTGACTTAAAATTTTAAAATTCACTTTGGCTTCCTGACTGCTTACAAATTAGTGAATAGGTTTACCGTAAAATTCTAACTTCGTACCGCAGACATGGACCAGCAGGTAATCCTAAAACTGTAAAAGCATAACTTGGCCACACCCTGATGTGCACATTTAAACTTGTCTTTAGAACAATTAAAATGAATGGTCTTTATTTGTTTCAAATTCATTTACATTTTTAGTGTTTGATTCAGCAGAATGAGTGCCCTTTTGACTTTTGTGTCTGATTAATCCATCTATTTTCTGTTTTTGTTTTTTTCTGAAATCGTGTTTGAATTCTATTTCTAGTATGCTGACCCAGTGGCAGATTTACTGGACCGTTGGGGGGTTTTCAAGGCAAGGCTCTTCCGAGAATCCTGCGTGTTTCATAGAGGAAACTATGTGAAAGATCTGAGCAGACTGGGCAGAGAGCTGAATAAGGTCATCATAATCGACAACTCGCCAGCGTCTTACATCTTCCATCCAGAAAATGCCGTAAGTGGCGCGTGTTTGTGTCGGAATAGTCTTGTCTGCTTATGTAGATCTAGCTTCAGCTGAGCTGACACAAAGATTCACGATATATTTATCCTTTAACAGCTTCACGTACTTCTTATTTACTTTAATTATTTTTTTTGTCACATGTTTAACCCCTTAAGGACCAAACTTCTGGAATAAAAGGGAAACATGACATGTCACACATGTCATGTGTCCTTAAGGGGTTCATTTAGTATGCCGAAGTGGATACATTTTAATTCACTATTAATGTTAGTGGGCTTTTTTGTGATATATATAATTTTTATTTATTTTTAAAGCTTGTGTAGTTTTATTAAATATTTGCATTTATGGCCTTCTTTCTGTAGGTCCCCGTGCAATCTTGGTTTGATGACATGTCGGATACAGAACTGCTGGATCTCATTCCTTTCTTCGAAGGATTGAGCAAAGAGGAGAATGTTTACAATATGCTCCAGAAACTTTGTAACAGGTAGCCCCAATGCTGACTCTATGCCCCCTTATGAACAGCTGTGAAATACAACAGCTACAGACTGAGAACTTCTTTTTGGACTCTGCTTTTTTTCCTTTTTTTCCTCCCCACTGAACACTTTTGAAATGGAAACAAAATGCTCTACTGAAGATGTTCATGTGATACAAGATGCTCTTCCTATGGGTTCGAGTGAATATGGCTTTACCTCTTCAGGACCCATTAACACACTAACAGTGAAAACTTTTTGTTGCAGAGGCGTGCCTAGCAGGACCTCTAGCACCGATGATATTCCTAGATTAATGGACAGAAGAAAAAGAGAAATTAAATATTTTTAAAGGACTCTTTTCACTAATTTTCATAAAATTGATAAAAACTTTTCAGGCTTTTATAAAGGAAATAATTAAAAACACCAAATGAAAAGGAAAAGTATGACAAAGAATAAAAAAAAGCTCAATGCTAGCAACCTTTTATTCTTTGCCTCCCCCTTAACTCCCACCTCGGTTGGTCCCTCCACTATGCAGACCGTATCGTATCCCCCCTTTCCCTAGAGCAGTTGACCTGACTCTGAAAGTTTTTTTTCCTACAGACTGAAGTGCCTTTACAAGTGTTGATTTTAAGAGAAAAAGTTACATTTTCTACTAAACAAATTTACAGACCTTTAATCTTTTTATCGTCGATGCTTTAAAAACGGATCGAAACTTTATAAAGCACCACCATTTATGCTTACAACTAAACGAAGATTAGACACCGGTTGCATGATTCCACCATTTGTATTTAGCTTTAGGAGTTTCACATATCCAGAATATTTTATTTCCCCTCCCACCCCGCCAGTTTTATCGAGAGTTTGGCACACTTTACTTATCTGTTGTATTCTTTTTGATTTATAGCCATTGTAAATGTTTGATCACCGTTTTGGAATCGTTCTATTTTTCATAATCCAAGCTCCCTATCCCATCAAAATGATGGTTTCTAGATGATTGCGGTGGCAGGGTTGTCCTCTGTGACTTGTTTAAACAATAGGAACACATTCTTGCCTCCACCAGCACGCCACTTCATTCCCAGGTTTCACTTTGCTCTTTTAAGGAAGAGGTCGCATGAACTTATCACTACTTTATGTATAGAATTGATCTTGAGGAACAAAGATCTATTTATTGAGTTACAAAGTTTCCTGTTTTTTTGTTTTGTTTTGTTTGTTTTTTTTTGGGGTAGAAAATAAGCTGTATGCTCAGACTTATTTTTATTTTTTAACTGCTGCTACTTTATAAGTCGCCAAATAAGGTTAACCACCGGCTGTCAAACTGTTCTTTGCCGCTGTGCCT